TCACCCCCTCAAAAAGTGAAAGTTGCCAAGCCCTCCCAGCGGCCATTTTTCAAATGACATCCCTCACCTTCCTGGGGCTCTTTTAATTTTCAATCCCATTTTTGTCCTTTTTTGCCCCCAGATGGGTGCCCCTGAATCTGCAGAGATGATCCTGGGCCATACTGATACAATCCCACCATTTCTTGGCCCAAACAGACCCCTCTTTTCGAAACAATCTCTGGGGGTACTTTTTGTGCGCCTCCGCCTGGCGGAGAATTTTCCTTGAATTGGGACACTGCACCCTTTATCAACGTAAGCAATATCCTAGCCTATCGTGTTCATAGACGTGTGCAACGACGGCGAATGCTATACAAACCCTCGCGTCACTTACACCTGACTATATTCCGCGTCGCTGTTCGAGGCATGTACGGGCGAACCCACATTATTGAAAACAGAACATTGCGTGTACATGTACTGTGTACGTTTTGCCACGTTCGATTGCGCTCGGGAACAAGGTTGTCCAGCGCTGAAAAGACATTTGACTTATTTCGCGCTTAAAGTTTCTTCCTGTAAAACCTCATATTTAGGCTCTCACTTTGACAATAAATCAGACCTGTGCGTGTATATGGTCATTCAGCAAGAAAGATGGCTGATGAGAGTCATGGCATTTCCTCAACAGTAGGTAAGAATCAAAATTAACCATTTGGTAGTGTTGTGGTTTAGACGATAACAAGGCCAGACTCACTCATCAGACCGCTGTGGTTGAAGATCTTCTGAATTGATTGCGACTTGAATCCAGACGGAGAATTTGCACGGTGTTGTTGTGATGACCTTGTGTGATCTTGTGGTCTCGATCTCAAGCAGTGTGACTGCGATACTGCCTGCAACGTGTGTAGGTGTAGGCATTTACAGTGCAATATGCATGCATGTACAAGTTCCGACCCGCTGCTGCAGATATTGTTACACAGTACCTTTGTCGCGGCTGTATTTATTGCAATCCATGCTTTTAAAACCTCTATGGTTATGAAGAACTTGCGTCAACGTAAGAAGCAAGGATTTGGGGCTTCAAAAGCGAAGTCAAGAAACTGATTAAAAGGGAGCAATATGCTGTTTCTACTGCTGATAATCTGTTATATTCAGTGATGGAATTACGTACGACCGGCCGTATAATCCTAACACTTCTAGGATGATTTTTAACCCTAACACTCCTCAGTCCTCCAACAGGTGAAGGATTGAGGAGTGTTAGGGTTAATGGGCCTTTATTAGAAACTTGAGGATAATACAATGATGTACAATTTTAAAATACAGTTACAAGTGAGATCATAAGCTTTCTTCAGTCCTCTTGCGATTATCACAAGACCTGTAAGACCGTCACAGAACCTCAAATCTAAATTCAAGTCACAAGCTATTCGTATAAATTCTGAAACATCCTTGTCATTGTTCACCCTGGCTGATCTTGTAATTGGTCTTGTGTCTTGTCTTGTGTGGTCAAGTTCAACTGCATTACTGATTAGGAGTGTCTTAAATTTAACAATTGCAGTGTGTGTAAACAAACATGGACCTGGCTGTACTTTATTTGCATGACACATGTATGTAAAGATCGAGTAGGTTTATATTTTCTAAGCGTGGAATATTTTGTTCAATAATTTGCAGACCAGTTTTGTAATTCCATTGTGTTGGAACGCAGAACAGCTGTGAAGTCAGAATGCATCCATAGAAAATGTGCAACTTTTTTATAGGAAAATGGCTAGCCTTAATTAAGTCTAAACTCCCCTTTTCCCCGTGTTATTCCAGAGGATTCTCTCCAGAGTCCGCCGGCAGGACGGGAGTCCTGTTTGCCACGTCATCGAGCCCCCCGTGAGGAGTCGAGCGTGTCAGTGGGTGAAATCAGTGTTACTGGGAATAACAATCCTGTTCTCTGTGGGAGCGATGGGAACACTCTGAACTTCCAAAAAAGTGCAGGTAAAAGTTTGAAAATAGACCACTAGCTGTGATAGATCGAACCTATTTGAACTAAAATCAAAACTAAACCAGTAGCAGCTCATGAATCTTTTTATTTCTAAATTCTACGTAGTCATATTTTGTCCATAGAAGTGAGTCCATAGCATCAGTCTGCTTCTGAGACATGCCCATCGTGCAGTACTAAACATTTAGCAACGTTTGAACTTCATGCATGTATAGGCCTGCGTGTATGAGCAATCCAGTGTTTAGTTCAGTGAGGAACAACACTTGTGACGTTTGTCACAAATGTGAGATATTAGATTTGTGTACGTGTACCCTTTTCTGTTGCATGCTATACTATGTGCCATGCTGTTTTGTTGATGAAACAGGTCACCGGTACAAAGTTTCCAGTCCACCTTTCGTACAACTTTAAGGGAGTCACCTTTTAATTTGTTACCATGCAACATGGGCATTTACGAAACGGGTGGCTTGGGCTTAGTCTTCGCTGGTTCCAGACACTTGAGGAGACTCTCACCATGCGGACTGGTACCAGTGACGCCAGAGACTGAGCCCGAGCCAACCGTTTCGTAAACGCCCTAAATAGTTCCCCACTGGCAGAAACAAGACTTTGATCCAGATTTACTCTAGGTCACAGTGGCATTAACGCCTTGGCGCAGGCTAAATTTAATCAGCGTTTAGTTTGCTGCTGGCTTCCAGGAATAAGATACATGCAATTGTCGAGCAAGCACAGCTTATAAAAAATTGTTTCAGATGTCCAATACAAACCGTCTCGTCGACGGTTTAATCCCCTCTTTTATCGAAATTCCCCCTTTCTTTACAAAATTGTACACTTTGCAAATTCACTGGCCCTATTTTGCAGCATTACGTTTCGGAAATGGTCAACAGCTTCATGCGCATGCAGAGATCATGGACACATGCCCGGGCTCCTGAGTTGCATGAACTAAAAGTCCAGAAAGGGACAGGGCAATCTTTGTCTGTTTGTTAAATGGTTATTGCGTTGTAGTTGATTTGCATGAATTACTGTCTCGAATTGGTGTGCATGAATCAGTAATTCCTGCGAACGAAAACGCAACATAAAGAAATTGATCATTAAAATTACCCACACTTTCCTTCCTGTGAAAAACGTCCATCATCTTGAAAGTCAAAACAAGTTCTAAAATAGGACAGTCGTGTTGTTGAGTAATAAAAGGTGCCATAAGACAACCATCTTCGATATGCAAGCATGATTAAAAGTCTTCTTCATAAAGATCGTAATTTCCAGGGGAGATACAAAGAGGACAGGGCACATATCGATTGATTACCCTCTGCTGTTTAATGAACAGACAGTGACCCGAAAGTGTTGTCCACAAGTACCACCTCTGCGGATGAAACCTCCGGACCTTTGGTACTAAGTAAAAAGTCTACATCGTCTCAGCAAAGAGAGATATCGACAGGGGAAGAAACCATTGGTACACGTAACTTTGACGTTTTCTTTACATGCACTGCTAAGATGCATTAGTCTTGTGGCTGAAATTCAAGTAACTGCATATGTCAAGCAATACAAACCGTTAAATCTAGTTCCGCCGTTTCTGCTGATAAATTTACTTTTCACATGTAACTTCAACAAAACCTCGAACCTATATTGTTTATGGTGCTAAAACTGTACAATGAAGATAACTCGTACGAATGAACCTGTCTCACAAATTAACACCAAAACAGTGTCGATTGTCTCCAGGTGCCAGTCTTTCCAAAATGTTTGGTTGTTACATGTATTAACCTCCTTCAAATCATCATGTCCTGTTAATCATGGTCGACCTATCACTTCATTCTCCCGTAGAAGACACGCTTCCACCCACTCCGCCATACACCAGGAGCAGCACTCGAAGGGTAGAGTCCCTAAAGATTGCCGGTCATGAAAATTTTACCTTCGTTAACTGTAGCGTGAACATCATGAACTCTTCAGGTAATGGCCTAGTGGGAGTCAATAAATTTATTATTTTATTCTTTCCCCTTCAATTTAATTAAAACTAACAGATATTTTGTCGTTCATTTTTCCGCCTTCAAAGAGGAGAAAAATGAACTAATGGATTTTAGATTCCAATGTGGGTGCAGGTTGTTTTAGGTCCATTTTACTTATCTTCAGCCTTTAGCCTACCGTTGCGCTGGTGATTTAGTTATGACACTAACTAATTCGTTGTCCTACTCATTGTTTGTGTGAAATAAAATCTACTAGATCACATTGGCATCAGATAACCATGTAGATTTTGCCAAAAAATACCAGACACAGCAAGAAGAAATAGTGAAAAAAGTCACTGTAATGGCAAAATTACTTTATATGGGAAAAGAGAAATGTGTTAGTCCAGAAAGGGCTGGATGCCCTTTTTGCAATAGTGTGCAGTTTGTGATGTTACTGAGACAGAGGAGAGAACAAGTTAGACCGATGTTAAAGGTACTGAAATAGGTACTGTGACAAGTTTGCATATTTAGTTCACAAGGCTCAACCATGCAAGTGTGCAGAATACCAAATGCCTTTGCTTTGCGAACACATTCTTGAAAACAAGGAAAGTCCAATTCAGTCTGATCTACTTTGTTCTCGCTACTTACTCATAGGTTTATTGAGCTGTGCCCTTCACATGGCCACCATTCCTTCAATGCACATCTGACATCTTCGTAACACTTATAACTGCTTGTCTGATTATTTCAAAATATGCAACTTGTCACAGTTCTGATTTCAGTACCCTTAACATCTGTCTAGTTTGTTCCATGATCGGTCTCAATAACATCACAAGCTGTATACTACTGCAAAGAGGACGTTCTACCCTTTCTAGAGTAGATACACATTTCTCTTTCCAACATATAAAGTCAAGTCATGCTGTGAGTCTGTCTGTACTACCCTTGCACAGCCGATTCTGGAATTGGGGACTCATTCAGCTCCGTTGACACCTCTGTTGGAAGTGATAGCCGCACCTCATTAACTAACCACGAGGTGACAGGAGGGAAGAAAGAGACAATCGACGAAGGCGTCATATTTCTCATTGACTGCTATGATCCAATGTTCCAACAAAGCAAAGATGGAGAGGACAGTCCGTTTCAGCTAACCATAAAAGTAGGCAGATTTTTGCTGGTTTTTTTTTAATGTTCACCCTTTCTTATGAGACTGTAGGTTTGAAAAATAAAATAGCATTGTTGCATATTGTTTTCTCCCAATTGGACGAACTGGGATGGGATCACATTTCTGACCCTTCCGTTTGGTGGGTAATGCAAGTTTGCTTAAAACATATTCTCTCTCATCCTCCAAATTGATGGTACATGTATAATGCAAACCGTAAACACACGTGCATTCTCTGAGTTGAAACGTGAAAGCTTCAGTAGTCTGGCAGCCAGAGGATGAATCCTGTTTTGTTGGGTATATAATTTTTTTTAAATTTATTTATTTATTTTGGCAAATTCTGAGAATGGAGGTCATCCTTTTCAAGAATTTGAATGATGAGACCTTTTCATGGTTGGGCAATTTAAGACATGTTTTCATCGATACTTCATCAATACATTATACATTTAAACAGTTAAACACAAACTTACACCATGTTTCCTTAGATATTCTGAGAAAAGAGGTCATACTTTTGTAGAATTTGAATGCTGATACCTTTTAAAGGTTGGGCAATTTTAGATGTCGATTATTTCTGTTTTTCGATATTTCATTTATACTGCGTTGGCACGATTAAAAACAAACTTATTTTCTTTGAATATTCTGAGAAATGAATATGTTTTAAGAATTTAAGTGATGAATCCCTGTCGGGTACAACAATTTCAAATATCAATTATTGGGCTTTTGGTCGATATTTTATCAATACATATTGTGTTTGCTTGGTTAAAAACAAATACGATTAAACTAACAAAATTTGGGCAGTTCTATATTTCCAGACCCCTGGAATGCCCAGTAAGACGTTCCTGTATGCTGTCTTCAATCGGTTTGGCTATGCCGTTTTACTAATGCAAGTGTTACCATTGTTAGATGATAATGTCTGCATCAAAGTTATTAAAACAACCCGGTACCACCACCCCCCCACAAAAACATAAGTGAAGGTTTATTTTATTTTCTCATTTAATTTCAACCAATTTCTTAAACTGTAGCAGTTCGTCATAAGTAAGGGTGACTCCAAATTTTTTTGTGCATGCAGTTATTGAATTATTTTCTATATCCAGCAAGAAATGAGACTGAGGGGTCACCCTGGCCCCCAACATGTTCAATCCCTTTACACACTCTAGGCTATTGTTCCCTAACACATCCCCCTAGATGTCTGAAAAGAATTCTTCATATTCCAGTAAAGCAGTGACCAACACAAAAGAGGGGCTTTTCTCCGTCTCATATTTTGCTTCATAAGTTATTTTCTGTGCTGGACAATAAATCAACGTGCAACTAACTCACAAGTCCCCAAAAGCGACAAGACCCGAAGACCCAGCCACCCGTAAAACGTGTACGCAAGGTCACAAAGCCTACAAATAGGCCTAAGGCCGAAATACTCTTTAAGTTCCGCTCATTAAAATCACTAAACAAATACATGTACATTCGGCATGTTCTGAATTAACTCATCAAAAATAGCCTTGAAAACAACCGTCAAACCGGCACTAATGCTACTAAGTATAAACTGTAACTTTTACAAATTACCCTAGTTCTAAGTCGCAAGAAGGCCTGTTAATTAAAGCTGATATCAATTCAAATTAAGTTGCTTGCAAATTACGGCAATTGAATTTATAATTACAAACCTGTTAATGATAGGTACTGTTTATCAAATCACTCCTGTCACATTTGGGCCGCAAAATTACGATAACAATTTCGACAAGAATCCACACCAAACACCAACCTAGACATAAGTTTCAGCATGCACGTGTACATCGTTTACATGTGTGTGTACCCATACCCATCTAAGATTCGTTCGCACACACTGTCTGGACGGCACCAGATTGATCAATATGGCCACTCTTCCAAAATGATGTATTAATTTAAAAAAGACTTTAGGTAATAAAACAATTCTGCTTAATTTTTTCAACAGCAATAGGAAACTAATGTTTTCAAGGTTTTTATTTTTGTAACTAGGGGTTTTGTGTATAGAAACTTTAATAAAATTTCAATTCTGCAATATATATGTTTCAGTAGTTGTAAAAGTTTCACATCACTTGGATTTATGATCAAAATAGTTGAAAGATATTTTCAGTTAAATCTTGAAATACCCAAACTTCACCAAAGGTCATCATGCAGATTCTGGCCGTCTGTGGTCTACAAAACACGGTTCAGGAAAAAAGTGGCATTTGGCTGCTGGACTATTCGATACAAGCACAGTTGGACCACACGGTGGAATCACAAATTGTTCCATATTAATATACTGCAGATTTTTTATCAAAAACTTGTATATTCCAGTGCACGATGTCGTTCCAAAAAATGATAGTGTTTAGCAACAAGGCAGATCATCAAGCTGTTCTACTGCTAGGAAACGACATCCATATTTTGCAGGTATAAAAATATTATATGCACATTTATTGACTGAACATTTGGTATTTCATCAAATAGTGAAAACTCACTACATTGTGGAATGTTGAAACTCATGCATGGGCATTTCTAAAGATATTATTAATTAATTGTAGCTGCAAACAGTCAAAACAACCCAAACGTCCATCTAATCTTGCTCACATTTTCCAGTTTACCATCATGCACCAATATGGTATAATTTTTTTCTTCATTTAGAACCTTCAGCGACCAGGGGCTCCTCAAATTGAAGAATTGGAGGCTCTTGTAACAGGTACATAGAAGCTTTACAAAACCTTAACTCTGCTACCCACCTACAATTCAGCAGGAATTCCTTCAATTAAGAAACTAAGAAAGTATCGTGAAACACTTGGAAGCGATCCCTGACGTTGGCTGTCTGTAGTCATTCAGCGCTCCTGGATGTAATAGTAGCAAAAATAATGTATTTATGAAGCATAACATTTTTGCAGGGCGCTTAATGTAGAACATCAGTTGCAATTAAATTAAAGAACACAGTTTGCCAAATACTTTAGTTTTTAAACCTGGGTAAAGCTCATTTTAATTCAGATCAAAGCTCCGAGCGGTCAAATTCAGCTCGTGTTTGGTGTAATGATGTCGGAAACTGAACCCATGTGTGCTGTTTCTTTAGTTTCTTTTGCGTCCAAAGGTAGGTTGTAGGCGCTGCTGCAAATACGTGCACTTACAAAATGCTGCTTACATTTCCTTGGGTGGCTCGTTATCCCATGCCGCATCCGATTCCTTTGAATACAACCTCCTTTGTAAACATCGGATGCAACTTGGGATCTGTTTTTGGAAGGAGACGCCAGGTCGTATCTTCAAGCTAGGGGACCAGGCTTTCATGTCTTACTTTGTTCCCTTTTGCACTGCAGACCACTCCAGTCTCCGAAGCAGACATGGTTATATCGCGGATCCTAAACTTAACCACGCACTGCAGAAGTGCCGCAGTTTATTTAGTCAAAGGTACACATGATTCCTCTTCATTGATTCGATTTTTCTGTGTCCGTTTAGTGTGAGTTTATACTGCAGATCTTTTTTTTTTCACGTTACTTTCCTCCTCAACTCCCCGTGGACAAATCCACCTGTGTTTTTTTGGATATCTTTCGATTGCCCTCGTTCATGGCGAAAAGCATTGTGTTGGGTTTTGTACTAAGCTACATGAACAGTGGCTCAACACCGCAGTTATGTACTTACTTGCACTATCGGCGGGGCCCACTGGGAACGCGGTAGGGTTACAAATAGTCACCAGATTTGTCGGTACCTTAATAGGACACTTTTATCTCAAGGCAGTCCACTTTATTTCATTGTTTTGCAATTACATGTAACTGCAGTTCTCTGCTGCACTCAGCGGAAATCATGGCTAATATTCTGTCACATTCGTGCAGATCTGACTGCGTGACGATACGCCGGAAGAGAATCTTCCTCTTCACGAACTTGGACGGTCCACAGGATCCCACTGTTCAACGGAACAGCAAACTCGAAGCCCGACAGCTCTACAAAGAAGACGTGGAGATCAAGCTTGTGTATTTTGACGATGAGAGCAAGCCGTTCAATGCGTCACTCATTTACAATGTAACCTACATATATAATGACATCAGCCGTCGATTTTGAAAATTATATTGCCGCTGATATTTATCAGAGTGAGAGTTTTTTTATGCAATTTTTTTATGCAATTTAACCACTTGCTTGCACGAGAGACAAAATGACCGAGAATGGTGTTTATTTGATGAAGGATTATTAGCAAATGCATGCCCCCTCCACCGAGCCCATTTTGGCTGGTTACGTTGGCCTGCTCTCGGAAGTCTTAGGTTGGGGAGTTAATGGGGTTTTTGGAACAGGTTTTCAGGTTTTTTATCCATAGAAGAATCATCACCACCACTGAAAGACAGTAGGCCTAGTACCGCAAGTGATTGTATATTGTACTTCCATTTTCTTTAAACAGTGCTTAAATGAAAATGTTTGAAGGTGGGTTCACTTCAGACAAGCTACCTTCTTGGCGCCAGTCCATCACCTACGCCAGTTCACTGGACATTAAGTGAATGTCTTCATTCTTACCGTAAATTCAATGCAGGACCTGCTGCTTTCGAAAGACGACGCATTCTGTGGAAATAGGTGTGATCGTGACCAATTTGATGCCCGTGTCTTCACCACCAAACTGGAAGCCATCAAGGGTCCTCGAAGAAGACTGCATTTCTCATTAGGACAAGACCTGAATATTGGAATCGGCTTGTGAGTCTTTATTAATTTTTCTGCTTGACGAATGAAACATACGTTCCTTGTGCACTCGTTAAGGATAAAGCGAGTTCCACACGTTAACAAAGGGCCGGGTTCTAATTGCAACTAGGTTCCTTTTGGTCCAATATTGCACGGGCTTTCACTTTCCATTTTCGAGCGTAAGTGGCGAAGAGCATGTCTTATCTCTGTCTCTCTGTTGCTGAGGAAGCATTTTGCACGTCACAGAGGTGCTATTCGAACTCGGTATAAACTGTGACATATACATGTACATCCATGAATAATGATTCTTATGTGGAGTTGCTAAAACTATTTGCAGATACAACCTTGTTCAAGAAAAGAAGTTGACAAAGTCATTCAGCGTGGGACAAAACCGAAATCCCGCGGACAAGGATTCCAGCAACGAAGGAGCTCAGTTACCGGCTAGGAACGGAGGAATCCTTGATTCTAGTGACCGTCAGAATCAGTATACAAAGGAAATAAATGAGGCTCAGTCTGGCAGTTCTCCGGTACGCTTTGTCCACATCGGTCTGTTTGGCCCCATTAAGACCTGCCACGACAAAGGACGTCGAATTTTGCCATTTGATTTCCAGTTTTGCAGTGCTCAAAATAACGCCGTCCCCTTGATTATGCTCACCGACACAGTAATTTATATAATTTCGAATATCCTTTAAATCCAACAGAATGAGTAATTCTCGTAAAAACTAAATGCCGCTGCATACATCATAGAGTTTCTGGAATTTGAGCTGTGAACAGTTCTACTGTATCAGGAGCAAGTTTTTCTGCAAGATTGAGAAGAGAAATGAATCACCTTGTAGCTTCTTTAAACAGTCTTTGAGGTCGCCCTGTGTAAATTCGAAAATTGTCACCAGTGCACTCAGTTTGTATTTGAAAATCACTGAAAATACATCATTTGAAAATAGTTTGTATTTGAAAATGAAATATTTTTCATTATCAAAGGATTGGGCTCATTGAAACGTGGAAACAGCATTAATTTGTATTTTCAGATTCCACGTGCAGCCATTGACTTGTTATTTCTTTTCGCCTGCCTCATTCGTACGACAAATTCATTTGTCAATAAGGTCCTGAGAATTCTCGGTCTCTCTACGTCCCTTTGAAGTGTCTATACATAATATCAACACAATCATTTGTCCGTCTCACCGATTTTGTTTTCTTATAAAGAAAAAGGAATTGGGCGACGATGACCCTGGGGGCCACTGGATGTACTCCATGACCTACCGTGGAAAGGAAATTAAGTTCACAGAGCAAGAAAAGACGGATCTTTGCACCTTCGGTGAAACTGGTATGGAAATTTGGTTTCATTTACCTTCGAAATCGTCAGAGGACTTCGTTTACAACTTTGAGGGAAAAATATCCCCTAAATTAAACCCACATTCCCTAAATTCCAACCCACTTGCAAGTGCGTACACGTGTTTGTCCGTGATTGGGAACAGCCAATTGTTCTTAACTTTAGCGGAGGAACTTAAATGTGATTTGTACACTATTTCCTGACTGGGAACCCTAACCCAACTGGGGACCTATCGTTCTTTGTTGCGCAGTGTCCCCATTTGATTCCAGAAGACTAACTCGGCCAGACACATCTCAAACAAACACATCCCCTCTCCACCAAACCTATAACCCAGCCCAACTTCAACTGCAAGGCAACCCCACTACCAACCTGTACTCTATGTCAACCTAACGCAATCCAACCAAAATAAAAGTGTTGTTAACCTTCGAGGGGCATTGATTTTAAAAGGCCAGATTCGCGAAATAACATGCTTTAATTTTCAAAGAACTGCTACATGCTTCTGTTTGAGAAATTATGGGTTGACAGCTAGTATCTTCCATAACTCCTGTCGCTTATTAGGATCTATTAATGACATAATAAGCACTGTTTCTTCCAATCGCCAATACCTATGGTATCTTTTAGAGAAAATAACTTGGAAAGCACTTTCATGTTGGGTTCACTTTAAAGGCTGTGTTTAGCAATAATTATTACGCTCAACATTAATAGTATCACTTCTTGACCATGCTCCAAGGATCAAAATTAGCCTGTCCATATATTTAATCACATATTCAATCATAACTTTTCAGCACAGTTTTGCTTAATGATTTTTTGGATGATGTTGATGTGACACTTTTGATTTCTTCTTTGTTTTTTTAGATGTCTATTAGATAACTCTTGGTCTGATTCGTTTGACTCACTGTCAAAGGTCTTTCCCTGCTGGGATTCAAGCCGCGACATGAAATGAGAGATGGCCACCTCCGTCCTAAAATAAAAGATGATCACCAGCTCGGGCATCCAATGTTCGTCTTCCCGGATGAGCTCATGGTGAGTGGAAGTACCCGCCTGTTCTCGGCTCTCCTCCAGCGATGCTTGGCCCGAGACGTGGTCGCTATCTGTAGACTGATTGTGCCCTCGGCCTGGTATTTGGCACCTTCAACACAAATTGTCGCTTTACTACCCCAGGTAAGATTATAAACTTGTTGCGTCGGCAAAGAGGTTTCCCTTTCGAATCCTTGACCAACAAACGAGCCAAATTAGTTCAAACTAATGCGAATAATATGGTTACCGAGTTTAAATAAAAACACAAGACATAGCCTTGGCATGTGGACGCCCACTTTCTTGGAAATTTCACCGTTTTATTTATGCCAAAAATGCTTGCCTCCAAGTTCATCAATGAGACGAACATTAGAAATACATGTAAGTAGTTCTCAAAGACAATTACAGGTAAAAATTTTCTCAGACTATGGACACATAAAGATTTGAGCCTGCGCCAATCATCAGATTATTTCTTCTCAGAACCAACTCTAAAAGAGACTGGCTTCCACGATTGTTACTGCAAACCTTCCAAGTACTTCGCTTGTGTCTATATGCAAATCTAACATTTTCCTCATTCCTCTCTATCACAGAAACCGGCCGTGGCGTGATTCTAACCGTCCGTCGATTTTTGTGTTCAACCTTAGGTTACCATTAATTAGCAAACTTTTTGTAACTTTTTGGGCTTTTTAATAGAAGGAGGAGCTTGATGAACACGGAAAGGAGATATGCCCAGCAGGGTTCCATCTCATCAAACTCCCTGGACCGCGTGATCTCCGGAAGGTTCCAAAACGTGTAATCAACAAAGGTAGGTTTGGGCGAGAGGTTTTTCCTTTTGAACAGAATGGTGAAGTGAGCCTCCCACATTGTCATCCTCAAACAAGCAGCAACCATTGCGCATTGGACTAATCCCATTCCAGAAATCACTCCCTTTGATAACAGCAAATACAGTACATACAAAAAAAACATGATCAGACGAAAACACAAGTCATAGGGAACTTGTCAGTAGTTTGGAATATGTATACATATCGAATCGTGTTATTTTTGTGTAAACTAAGAATTCCCCTTAAGTGAAGTCTTACTTCACGAAGTATTTGCCTCAGCTTTTATACGTCGGATTAATTCATGATCGATAACAATTGATTTTTACCTCAGGCTCTATTTGATACAGTTTATTCCCTGGGTTTCACTCCGTGCATTCTTTTGGGCTACAGTCTGTGGTGCCAACAACAAAGCAAATAAGATGCAGATCGACAAGGCCAAAGCGATGATCCAGAAACTGCAGTTTTCGTTCCGGAGTGAGAACTACGAGAACCCCTCCTTGAAGCGACACATGCCCACCGACGACATTGTGGACAATACCAGTAAGTGTGACTCAAACCCTGGTGCATGGCAGATATATATTATGGAACAAAAGTGGTTTACTGACGCTTGTCCTGAAAACACCGTGCATTCCCAAAAAACATGGGTCGTAAGGACGAGGAAGCAACATGGCGTTATAGTTCCATATTTTCAAATCCCATACTCAATATGGCTGTTCATTGATCCATAATTTACTTTCAAACTCAGAAAGAATGTTGTAACATCGAGCTTGCCCCAAACAAATGCATGTTTCCGGTTCGCATAGTTTGGACTTTCGTTCATGGGAAGAAATCTAGGTATTTGAACAATGTCCAGGTAATAACAGGTAATGTCCCTGCTGGTCAGACGTCAGGAAAGACTCGACTACAGCATTGGGAGCTGTAGAGTACCAAATTGAATACGTCACGCCTACAGTTATGTGTGTAAAGGGCATTACTGCGAGAACCTGCGCGTTTGACCAACACGCGCCTGTACTCCATTCGTATGCACTGCACTTCTTAGTTCAAAATGACGTCACACCTTGGTAATCTATAGCCACATACATGTGTACCATTTGCTCATTCATTTTTCAGGGAGGCTTTTAATTTCTGTTCGCCATGTAGAGTTCCAGGCACGTGGACATCTATATTAGAGGCAGGACATTATCTTTTAGAGCAAGATTCCCAGGGTAACCTTATCATGTAATTAGAAAAGACACGATCAGTATTTTCTGTAAGACCTAAATTTGAACTTTTATTCAAAGTTTTACACCTCTTTTTTCGCTATCTTTGTACTTGTGAAATAGAGCCCAATCATGCCTTCTTCGCTGAAAAAGCCGATATAGAAATTGACGAGTTTAAGAGAACCGTGTATCCAGAGGGCTACGCCCCAGCCAAGGTATGGGCAATTTTTTACTTTAAAAGTAGCTAAATGAACGTATTTCATCTGAAATAAAAAACAACCAATCACTCATAGCCCATTTTTATGGTTTAATCTGCCCTTCTGAGCATCAGCCAAGCGTTGAAGTTTGAAACGTAACGCCCATAATCCTCAACGCTATTCTTTTGGGTCTTCGTCTTTGTGTTTTTGTTAAAAGCGAGATACCCTTCCACTGTCTCTTTACAACATAAAAATTAACCTCAAGTGTCTCTCACAGTTTCAAATTAAACTGTGGTCGCCGTTTATCTGTCTCCAGAAACAAAGGAGCCAGGGCACAGCTAACGCTTTGACGACAAAAACAATGGAGCAGCATGTACGAGACGGAAGTGTAAGACCTTCGTCGATTTTTAAATCATTTCATCAAGTGGCAAAAATATAGATTCATAACTTTTTTTTCCAATTTTTCCTGAAAGTACATTCTCCCCTTTTCGAGTTTCCAGTTTGCTTCGGTTTCCATCATGTTTGTTTGTCTTTATGCAACAGATCACTACATGTACAGTGGCCCAGCTGAAGGCGTTTTGCGTCGAGAACAGATTGGCCACACGCGGGAAGAAAGCTGATCTCATTAGAGAGGTGTGCGGTTTCTACAATTGTGACCCGCCAGCAGCAAAATAAGAGTTCAGTTTTAGCTTCACTTCTAGGTAAGGGTAAATGATAAAAATCTTAAATTTACAAAGGTTTTTATGTCATTCTCTGATGATGAGCCGTGAGCCAAGATTACCCGAATTTATACAGTGTACAAGATTTCGTGGAAACGCATATAAACTTTATTTGTCGTTCGATCAGTAGTCCAATAATTCGTTCCGTTTTCGATAACGGTATTTAGTAATCGAACGGCGTTTTAAACAAAAGTTCCGCAATAGGCGGAAACAACAAAGCCAGCGGCCTAACTTCAGTCTTCTTTTAAAGTATTTCTTTTTCAAATGATTTATTTCTAAATTTTTCTGGAACAGCTTCACACGGCATGTCGTATTTATGCCTTCCAATATAAACCGGCTCATTGTCCCATTGCTGGTTTGATAACGTTTTACTCTTCAACTTTTGAAAAGAAAACCTGAATTTCCATAAACCGGATATGTAATTAACCGAATAGAAAACACATGTATATCAATCCACAATTAGACTGATTAATCAAGAACATCACTGTGGGAACTGAAGATCGCAGTTTTGGGACAGGACACGAGGTAAAATTCCTAAGAAATACATAAGCTTCAGGATGAGGTCCCCACAACCGTACTTGCGGAGCAGTGGGGTAGATCCAAACGATTGCATTTATTTCCAGGTTTGCATTCATGAGAAACTTCTCTTTGCCACGCCTTCTCGCATTACTTCAAACCAACGTCTCTACCCCCCCCCAAAAAAAAATTAGACAAGGACAGGATGCATGCATGCCATTTCAATCTATCATGGAATTTATTCCTGACTAAAACATTCAGACATGTGTGCCTCTACAATGTACAAAAGTGATCAGACAGCTTAATTTTGGTTTTTAGCTTAGAAACGTGGTGTCCTTATGGAAATGTCTTTTAGCTCTTTGCTTGTTATTGTTCTTTGGCAGTTTGATAGCGTACGTTTAAAAAACTACAACTTCGACTCCTAAATAATGTTCCATTGTATTTTATTTATTGTAATTAATTTTCCATGTATACAGACCACACTGTATAAAGTTGTAATGCAAAGAAAAAATAAGAATTTTACCGACTTTTTTACATTGCTCCAGTAGAAATACATGTAATTGAATAACTATAGAATACATCACTTGAGGTGACCATCGCTCAAACTGATTTGGTGTGTGTGTTAGTGTGTGTTTGAGCCTTACCCAATTCAAACACATCACACAACATCCACACCAGCCTTTCTGCTCCGAGCATTACTATAGGTCCTTTTGTGCCGACACATTAACCCTAACCTCCTAGGGTGTATGTAAAATCATATTGAAATTGGAGGATTTGGGACTGCTAGGGTTAATACAAGCTGAATTTGCTATATAAATGACAAAGATTACAGATTACTATTTGGTAATAAAAGTTTTTTGTGAACTGTTTTAACTTTCTACTTCTAACTTTCCTATGCAATTTATACAATTTAATTTCCAAGCTGAATTCAACAGAAAAATTGAAAATGACTGTTTGGTCGATTAAGTACTTCATGCTCTGGTTTAACTACCTACTTTTGTTCTGTAACTGTTCTATTCTACGCACAGCCTTGTTTTGCCTTTGGGTTATCGTAGACATTGAATGCACGTTGACCAAAACCCAACGTGTGTTATAATGAGCACTGTAATTCCATCTTTTTACAGATTTATAAAAGGATGTTGTAATAAACGATAATATTGAAGCAACAATCTGTCAACATATATAGATCTATTGTAGATGAATGTTCAAGGCGTTTTGTGGTGTTGGTGCACGAGCAAGCATTAAGGTGAACAAGGCAAAGGCATGGATGCCGTTTCCCTTTTCATTAATTGTGGAGAAGAACCAGTCTCTCTCTTGAACACACTGATGAGATATGAACGAAAAACAGCAACCAGCTAAGACCAAGCATCAGCCAGTAGTGTTGCTCCAAGGGGACACCGTTGCTAGGTAACAGAGTGCCCTTTTTCATTAGCGCTACAAGTGACATCTGAATTGATGATTTGACATGCAGTTCCTCCTTCAATCAGCAAGCTGCAAAAGTGAGGCAAGTGATTAGGGCCGTGCCGAATATTTGATCGATTATCAAATATTTGAATATTATTTTCCAAATTTGAATATTCGAATGGACAATTCATGAAGAGAAAGGAAAGTTTTCTTCAGGTTTAAATGAGAAAAATTGCACTATGAAGGCTTGTTTCAAGTAGATTAAAATGAAAAGCAACAGAAATCTTACAATAATTCAAAAAGTAAATTATTCATTAAACAATTTAAAAGGAATAGACACTTCTCACAGGGCAAGAAGTATTGTTCATGTCTTAAATCTTGCTAAATGGTGGCTGGAGATACTTCTAGACGTGAGAAGCTATTATAGTGATTATAATGTACATTATTGTGTGCGCTATTGCAACTGATTTTGTACATGGTTTGTTCATCAACAATCTGCCAGTCGGTACGACCAATTCGATCAAATTGAAGGTCAAATAGTGAACTATTTGAATCGACTCGGCCCTACAAGTAATCAAGCTTAGAAATCAAAATAGCGATTAGTTTATTTAACTTTGGGTATATTTTCAATACAAAAGACAAGTAGAGGATATTCCTACCTTGTCATTCTCAAAGGCACGAGTCACGAGATCGAGAGGTTTTTCTATACTTTAACGATGGCTTTGCCGGTATTTGCTCCAGAGAACAGCCCCAGGAATGCATCAAACATGTTGTCGAAACCCTGTGTGACATGTTCCTTATACTTCAACTTGCCCTATAAAAATCACAAAGAGAAATGGTATCGCTTACACATTTGTAAACCAAACAGTTCTAAAGCCATTTACAAAATGTTCAAAAACGTTTCACAACATGGAAACAATTTCAGAACCTCGTGTCGAAATGAGGCAGTTCTGGCAAAAATATTGGTCAAATTAATGGTCTGCTTGTAGTATAGTGAATCTGTCGTCGAAGAATGAATCTGTCTGAGTCATCAAAAGACATCTGCAGCAAATTTGCTGGAACATTTGATGTGGCATCACAAATTCTCGTCCGTGTACACTTTCGTACCAAGTACGATGTGTGTGCGGCCCTCCTCAACTACAGGTGATTGTAACACAAACCCTAAATTAGATTCACTTGGAACTTCGCAGTTGCACTGACAAAAGAGTGTCTATGCATTCAAGCAAGGTTTCGAAAAACATGGTATGGAATAGCTAAATTCTTGTGGGGAATCCAAAACAGCCTGGCTCTTTCAGGGTTTTGACAGAGTTGTGGCAGTTGCTGCAGTTTCGTTTTCCCTTGAGCATTGATATTTAGCCCACCTCTTTTATCCACTGGATATGTTGCTTTGTCCACTCCGGCCAATGCTTAATGTGTGTAGTGATGATGAAGCCCTCCATCTTGATCTCCATGAAGACGAGCGTGCCAAACACAGGAGGCACTGGCAGGAACAAGATGGGTTATCACTCAAACTGTGCCTTTTCATAGGCTAATCAACCCCACCCTTTGGAGATTCCGCAGTCTTAGCATTATCTGCTGTTCAACAACCTTTCAACTGCCTATCAACATTTTCACATGAATGCGCTAAGTAGTTGTGACCTCATTTTTAGTATCAAAGTACTTAAAGGAGTTGATCAGTTGGCAGGTGTCAGCTGACCCACATACAATGTACACGCCAATGAGATTGTTTAAAACACAGATGGAACTGTGTATAAAAATTATGAAAGAGGCATTTCGTCATATACATGAACTAATAATGTTTCTATCATAACTGAAATGTCTGAATTCAGGCAAAAGTCTGAAAAATATCACGCCTGTACCCTGTCAGCTAACCACATCAGCTGATCACATTGTCATGTACAGTATTATGATCAAGTTTCCACACAATGCCCATAAATACATGGCAGATCACTGGTTCCATAAACTACTAATCCCCAAGGGTGTGCAAAGACTGATACTGATCAATGACTACAGCAGTTGAAAAATTTGGTACTTATTCCAATCATGCGAAGTGTCTGCTGACCTGGGAAAAGTTTGATTACAAGACACGCCCTTGGGAAGATTATCTTTCAGTCCGTGACCCAACTTGAGGAGCTGCCAAATAAAGCACTGCTTTGGCAAAGTTTGGCACTAAGCAAGGCAAAGAACCAGCATCTAGTAATATCTTCAGCACAGCAGATGCTGCTGAGCATGTCTTTTTATAGCCAATGTTAGGTGCTCAGAAGCTTTATAAATACGCCATTTGCCAGTTCAATTTGAATAAAATCTGGTACACTGAGTTATCTGACTGCACATAAACAAAACGATTTGAATTTCTCAGACTAAAGACACTGTTGCTATATACCTTGTGATTCGAGGCAAGCTTTTGCATAGCGACCACCATCTCTGGAATGGACTGGTTCCTTTGTGCCGTTCTTATCCATTGGGAACAGTGTACTGTTGCAAGGCGTCTCTCATGTAACTAAGCGCAAGCTTGCCCCGAATCATGAGGTATAGCAACAGTGGTTTTAGTATGGAGAATTTTCATGCGTATTTAAAAACTCAGTGTACCAGATTTTGGACAAAGTTGTCTCGCAAAAGGCTCATTGGCCACAAACATGGATGTCGGCCGGGAGAAAGGATGGGCAAGGAGCTTCTTTGCCCTCACTGGAAAAACAAACAGGAAAAAGCCAAAAACTGAGTAACCTATAACCAGAGATCAAAATCAATAATTTACTCAGGGAAAAAAAAATTTAAAAGGCACCCTTCCACTAATGCTTCATCAGTTCACTACTGAGAGTTCCCCCCCCCAAAAAAATGCTGGTCATGCTCATGGCCTCACAAAGCCTTTATAAACAAGTACGCGTTTACACTGCACAAAATTACAAAATATGCTTTCACATACGCTTCTGTGGAGCTGTGTCATTGTACTGGGATATGGCACCACAGCAGCTGATGCGGCCGTACTTGGCCATGTTGGTGACGACTGTGCTTGCAAACTCCCCTCCAACCTGCAAATTGACCACAGTTGAAAAAAAGTTCACAGTTCAAAGACTGTTCAGGACAAAGTCAGGCATAGATCTCCGATAGGTCATTATTCTTGTTTGCCAGTGAAAAATTGAGATTACTTTCAAATTTCTTGATCCACAGTTCAGTTCATGTTTCTTGTGTACACTTCTGGCAAACAAGTACGCAAAAGGAATTTGATGTCATGATATATTCGCAAGTGAATTTGCTTGAGTTGAGATACTGAAGTTGTGCCATTTGGCAACACAGATATTTGATCCGACATCATAATTTTGCAGTTTTGTAGTTGAGACTACTAAAGATCTTCACAAGACCAGCACAAGACCTCCAGTTTGAAGTCAAGTCATAAGCTATTCAAATGAACTGCAACAAAAGCATTCCTTTGCCACTGTTCACCCTGTTACTTGTGCATGGTCTTGTATCTGGTCTAGTGTCTAGTCTTGTGATGGTTTCAACTACAACACTGCTGTTTTGCAACTGCTCTATGTATGATTCGGCCTTTAGAAACTGCAGAAGGGGAACTTTTTTCTTTGAGAACACCCACAGAATATTTCTCCCCATGCGCACAGAAAACTTGAAGATACAAAAAGTACTTCTGTACACATATTCCTATCTGTTTAGGGACTCATGAAAACCAATCATTATTCTTTAAGGAAATGATTATACCTAGCTCTGTAGGCGAAATGTATAGGCCAGTTGGTCAGATATGCCAAAACCAGGGCATTGGGAATACCATTATGTTATCAGCGACGCATGACTCCAAATAAAGTAAAGATGAGGGCGCTATTTGCACACTGGAGGACCGGCATTCCTTGAACTATCTGTAGGGGCAGTAATGAAAAGTGGATGTTGAAGTTATTTGAAGGGTTTAGAGCAAAACTCACATTGTCGAAGTAGCAGTTGATGCCGTCGGGGGCAACAGACTTCAAGGTAGCGTCCAGGTTCTTGATTGTCTTGTAGTTAAAGGCTTCGTCAAAGCCCAGTTCTTTGAGCCAGGCCACCTTCTCATCAGAGCCAGCAAATCCAATAACTTTACACCCCTGATTAACAAGAAAAAAAGAAATTAGTTCCAAAGTTGTAAGTAAAACTTTTTCTTTAATAAGGAAAATGCCAGAAGTTCCATATGTGAAGAAAACTTGTTGGTGTTTTATGGAAGTCAAAAATTCCTAAGGGTTGGATACAGAATTCTCTCCAGATTTCTTGCATTTTTCTTTACCTTGATCTTTGCGATTTGTCCCACGACGGAACCCACCGCCCCAGCGGCACCGCTGACAACCACCACCTCCCCCGGCTTTGGGGCACAGATTTCAAGCAAACCATAGTGGGCAGTCATCCTAAAGACAATCAAAAAGCAAACTCACAGAATGCACATTATGACAGAAAGCAATGCTGCTCATTCCTCAGTACTGCACTGGATTCTGCAACTAAGTGCTAGCATTTTTTTTTTCATATTTTGCTTCGGTAAATGTCAATTTCTTCGGCATTTTATTGTTCCACACATATATGGCAATCAGCGACTCAGCAACATTTTTGCAAAATGTTTTCAAAGAGTAAATGTGTGGTTAATATTTGAATATCAAAAAACATGGAACATGATCTGCGTCTTCCCTGAGTTACATCACATCAGATAAGCTTGGAAAATGTTTAATGTTCACAAAAAGTGCACTTTTCAATACAATATCAAACGGTTTCATACACTGAAAAGGAGTACACAGATGGATAAAAAATGGGTTTAGGAAAAATTCATTGCATGGTTCCTCCCGAGTGCCCGGCAACCCACAGGCATCTCTGATGTACAACTTCAAACTTGTTGGATATAAAATAGCTTTGCACCTATTTCAAGCTGTGTCACCAGCACTAAAGCCATTTCTTTAAAGGGTTTGGATTGAGCATAAAAAAGACATTTATAATAAATCTGCTGACTTCTTCATCATCGCCCTCTGTAATCCCCCCCGTCGAACCCAACTATACTTACCCAGGCATCCCCAGGGTCCCAAGGGCCAGGGAGAGAGGGACTCCCTCTGGATAGGGCGGGAGCTTACTCTCGTTTTCCCCTTTGCACAAGGAGTGAGTGGTCCAACCCCCCGGGCACACAACGAGCGTGCCGACCGGAAAGTCTGCATTCTTGGTTTCGATGACCCTGCCAAGGTAAAAGCGGCCATAATAACATTTAGTGGGCAAAGCTTACAATACAGATTTACCAACCTAGGCTCCATGCAGAAGTTCAGGGCATAACTAAAGAGCTGATCTAAGACGGCATTAACCATCCAATAACCATGTTCATTTGGCAGTGAACTTGGTACTCGAAGGATACTCCAGTATAACACTGGGCACCACTTGTACACCTGGCTTTTATCTCAGTGCTATAGAAACATCTACCTATCTGAGTCTAGTCCCTTCTTCACTGTTTCCAATGTCAATTTTATCATTTAACCTTTGAACAAACTTGAGTGCCCCAAGGGAACTTTGGATTGGGAGAGTGACTTGTCACTTAGTTTGAAATTAACATGTTTGCATTCATCTGGGGCTTGTTTCCAAAGATACTGTATCACAAAAACAAAATTTGTCTTTCAGGCGTAATTTGAAACAAAAATGATTGTTTATTCTTGTACGAGATAGTAAATTATTTTATATTATAACAAGGACAGGCAGTCATAGAATCTAAAGCAGATACCCACTTTGCGACCTGGGTCCCAATCATGGTGATCCCCTCTGGCAATCTTGCTGAGTACGGCCTTCAGAAGAAAAGAAAATCGAGCAGATTAGGGTTGGCTTCCTTATTCCCTGACAAGAGAAGCGAGTGGCCAATGACATTCCGCGTCATAAAAGGGCTACATATAAGTTTGAGCGACGGTCATCTGTCCAACACTGGTCAAGTCTGCCTGGTACCCGGAATATATGTTGTGCCTAGGTTACCAGGGAAAATGCTGCAGTGGATAACAAATGGTCATCACTCAAACTTCTCCTGATTTCTTTTCCAAAGGTAGAGCCATAATGACAGGGGGTGTGATTCTCCATTACAACTTGATTCGACTTTGGCACAAAGGTAACTGACAGGACTTGAATAACTGGGATTCAATGACTCAAAATGTCTCGACTCGCACAAAACTCACCAATATGTTACAATACTGCAAACATGAGAGCATGCACCATCATTATAAATCAAAGAGGTTAGCACGTACATAAACACTACTTAAAGTGTGGACTACTCCATAATGTGATGATGTCCAGGGCAGCCAGTATTTATGTAAAGCACTTTCGAAACGAGTGGATTCGGCTTACAGTAGACTTTAGTTTCGGTGGTTCTAGCCATTTTGAAGTAGCGTGCGAAACACATGCTCAAGCTCTGATGGAACTAGCGAAACTGAAGTCTTAAGTCGAATCCACTCACTTCAAAAACGCTCTATGTCAAAAAGGTGGTGAGAAATTACTGGTCCTTGGACTTGGCCAAATATGAATCCGTGTGAAATTACTGGTCTGGTCCCTAGGCTTGGCTGAAAATGAATCTCCTGACATGAAATGTACGAAGACATTCAACAGCATGGGATAATACTCCTCTGACTTGCCACCTGACTTTGCACTGCTAGCCACTTACCGCATGTAGGGATCCACACTAAGACAGATTGCCTCCACCAGGAATGCTGGAAAAATCAAGACAAAATACAAAATATATTGAAAGTACTCTGATCTTTTAAGTAGGAGTCCATCCCAACTGTACATGCATCAAAATCCAACTCTGAGAGAACGCCACATGACATCTTAGTGTTTTTTAAGTGAAGACCTCACTAGTTTCACAACTAACTTTGACTCTTTGGACATTTTATTGTTTTCATATGCATGCACATGTATATAGGCCACCACAGGGAAAAATGAGTGGTTTTAAATTAAAAACTTTCCCAAACTCAGCTGAAATCAACATCCAGCTTTGTTTTGCTTAAGTGTTGTCCATTCTTTGGTGTTGGGGGATGCAAATATTCAGCCCAATTTTGCTTTCCATATGCCTCAGCACACAGTCTTGACAAAACCTATGACCTAAGGGGATTCGTCATTATGCTTATTTGAGTGGTAGAACAACGAGCCCTAAAGTTCTAGGGTATGGTCTAAACCCAAGTCTCATCTGTTGAGCTTGTAGCAGACTCACATCCATCTGGAACTGTCGGAAGATCAAATTCCACAATCTTCATGTCGCTCCTCTTCGGCATTCCCTGGAAATGCTTCTCCAAAATCCATTTCTTCCCCTTCCCCATTTTTGTTCTCGACGATAAACTGATGATGTAATTAGAAGACTTGAGTCCTGTTCACAGATTCCTCCATGAAGACAAGGAGGAAAAACAAGATTATAAAATAACAAAAACAAAGAAAATAATTCTGTATACCAACACCACCAATTTTTCTCTGATGGTGGATATGCATAAAAAGATGCCTTGAAAGGTCTCAGTTATCAAGGAAAATATGAAGGAACTCATGTAGCTAAGACTTAGAATTTTTCACACCAGTCTCACAGGGTTTGTGCAAAGGTCAGGTGGCATCCACAAATGGAACTATTTCCCCCCCCCCCAAAAAAAAATAAAAAAAATTTGAAATTTCAAATAAACCCTGCTTTTAATTCATTGAGACAAGGCACGAGTATGAACAAAGATTTCATGAAAGGCTTTTCAAAGTCACACTTATTTTAGAGTACAAAAATCAGTTTGCTCTGCATTTACACATGCACAATCCCAAAATATCTCCAAAAATCCCCTTTTCAACTCAACATTTCCTTGCTTTGCAGAGTTCCATGGAATTCAAACCATTATATCAAAATATTTCTTATGACATCCCCTCCAAGATCACTTCAACAAGAACACAGAAAAAAGTTCAACAATTAATGAACCTCCCTAACTCGGCCCCAGCCCAGTGCCAACAGACCAAAGATGAAAGAATCAGCGGTACACCTGGCCCCAGGACTGAAGCAATGTGTATTGAACCATCACAAAAAAATACTTTTCCGCATGATTTGCGCTGCCGAGTGCCAGCTGTCAGTAAAAACGTAGGCCTAGTATTAAAGTATGAATAGTAAACAGGTCCGGCCTGCGCCTAGCAAGTCCGCTTTGATCATGTTGATTCGAGTCGTTTACCGCGTAACGTTGGTCTATCTGGAACATTTTACCTGCATTTTGTACCCTTTAACACAAAGTACAAGTGTCCTCTGTCGGCTAACCATTTTACTAATCGAATAACTGTATATACTATAAATGATACCAATGTCACTACTATTCACGTTATTTTTTTTACTCACTTCACGGAGGGGTGCTCACCTTTAGCTGGACTGCCAACTTCTGCAATGACGATCCGCGTGGTAAATCATCATGTGCGTGTATTGACATGACACCAGCCTAGCCTCAGCACACTACTTCAAGGATAATAAGAGACGTCTGTGTGCTGAACATGTGACCCGGCAGCCCCTGACCTGGAATGGAGGGCACGCCTCTTATCTAAACCTCGATAAACTGGCCCCACCGAAAATCAAGCAAGACAGAACACCAGCGGTAGGCCTACGCGAACAGTAACAACGGAGGAACGTGCACAAAGGTGCGTGTGTGACTCATCAGTTTTTAATCAGAACACTAATAGATTTACTGTAAACAGAAAAGACAATCAAGCGCAGTAGGTACATGTAGGCTACATGTAAACAGATCCTTTAAGCGTTGAGGCTGAGTTTTCATTTGACTGCACCCATATTGGTGAAAATGTCGCTGTGCATTTATACAATTCAACACATTTTCAGGCTTTATGGGCCTAATCAGGTCATGGAGGAAACTCCATGAACAGGTGAACACAAATATATTTACTATAAACAGAAAAAAAAACAATCAAGGGCAGTAGGTACATGTAAACCAGATCCTTTTGGCGTTGAGGAGTTTTCATTTGAATGCACCCATATCGGGGAAAAAAATGCTGTGCATTCATTTATACAATTCAACACATTTCCACAGGCAAATTTCTACCCATCAAAACAAGCTCAATTAGCATACCAATATAATTTACAAATTACTCTTTGCTCGATCAGAATTTCCTGATCTGGTTAAATCATCTAGTTCTTTGGATTAACAGGAATTGCTTAATTTGCACGTCAACGGAAATTGAACAACACGTCCTGCAAGCTATACCACATTTTTGTCTAAAATATGAAAGGAATGTAAAACAAACGATAATATTCATGCAGCAAGTAGTCAAAGGCGACAGAGTGTAGATGAATACACAAGCAAGCATTAATCAGGTGAACAAGAAAGAGGCAACTGCATGGCTCCTGTTTCCATTTTTATTGTTTTGCAGTTAAGACAATGGATGGGAGAGCGGGACCAGTCTATCTCCCTGATGATGCGATATGACGGAAAAGCGGCATCCGGCAACCAGCTAAGAGCAAGCATCATCAGCCAGTGGTGTTGCCCAAGAGGAATTTCGTTGCTAGGGCACAGAGTGCTCTTTCTCATTCGCACTGCGGTTCTTAGTGTCAATCTCCTCTACGAATGCTTAGGAAGAATCAAGTACAACTTACTTGGCAGTTAATTGACATGCAGTTTCTTATTTTGATCAGCAAACTGCAAAACAAAGGGGCAAAAACATCCAGCTTATTCAGCAACGGTGTAAAAACGCAACACAGAAGAATGCAATGCAGCAAAACGTGATTTATTTACGTGTCATAGAGTACAGCGGTATAAACGTTTCCGTTCCAAAAAGTCTAACTTGTTACCATGATCCTCAAGCAATTTGCGAAGAAAGTGAATTTTGAGCGCACTTTTCGTACAGAAATCAAGTCTAGCTTTATTTCTACAATGTCATTCTATGGCAAAGGCACAAGTCACCAGATCGATTGGTTTCTTCTAAACTTTAACGACAGCTTTGCCGGTATTTGCTCCAGAGAACAGCCCCACGAATGCATCAAACATGTTGTCGAAACCCTCCGTGACATGCTCTTTGTACTTTAACTTGCCCTAGAAATTAAAAAAAAAAGAAACGGTCTGATTACTTACACGTTTAAATTAAACTACCCATTTACATCTTTCCAAAATGTTTGCAAACATGGAGACAATTTCAGAGTCGAACCTTATATCGAAATGATATGGCAGGTGGGGCAAAAGTGTTGTTCAAATTAAAGGTCACTTCACACTCCAGCAGAGTGAAATTGTCGTCACAATATATCTGCAGCAATTTTGCTTGAACATTCATTTTGATCTAACATCACAAATTCTCTTTATTGAGCGCTCTTGCGCCAAATATGAGCCAGCGTAGTCCTTTGCGGAGTGCATCTTTTTTCAAGGTGCCAAACTTCCTGGAGTAATATAACGATTTTTCCCGAGGTACATAAACCCAAAATGACGGTTTTACAGTGACAAGCTCAATACATGCAGGCCATCGTCACACGCACGGCCATGTACTTCAACTGACTGCAACAACTTCGCCGCTAATGAATGTCTTTACGTGTATGCCAAGTTTCAAAAGATCATGTATGGAGCAGCCAGGTTTTGAAAGGAGAGCGACTGAAAGCTGGTCCGAAAAAGCCCAGCTTGTTTAAATTTGGGGTTTTATTACGCAGTTTTGGCAATTGCTTGCTGCAATTACATGTTGCATTTATTATCTCACCTCTTTTATCCACTGGATGTGTTGCTTAGTCCACTCAGGCCAGCGCTGAAGGTGGGTAAAGATGATGAAGCCCTCCATCTTGATCTCATTTGAGACGAGTGTGCCAAACAGAGAAGGCACTGACGGGGAATGACACAAGCACTGATCAGTACAATCTGTGCTTTTCTCTAAACTACGGTGATGTACCTGACTTCTGAATAACCAGCCTCCACCCTTCCCAAATTCTACTAAAATTCTTGTCTTAGCATCACCTGCTGTCCAACAGAGCTTGCAACAGCTCATCAACGTCTTATGGATGCACAAATCACTTGTGACCCCATTTCCAAATGTAACAAAAAGTGCAGGTGATTGACAAGAGCCACCTGGACCACACACCCTATCCATACCAGCTGATCACGTTTTCATTATGCATCATTCAATTTCCTGACAAAGCAGTATAATACATGGAGGGTGCTTTGGTCAGAGTCTGGTCAAGAGGAGGTCCTCGCATATTCAATTACCAGACATGTTCTCGGATCATGAACTGTCTAAGGGTTGTACGAAGAATGCTACCGAGATTGAAGGATCAACGACTGATAGCAATGTAAGAATCTAGTACTTGATCTGGGAAGAGTTAGGGAACAAGAAAACCCTTGGGCCGATATCTTTCAGTCTCGCGGCTCAAACTCAAAAGCGGCCACATAAAAACACTCAGCTTGGCAAAATTCGGCTCTAAGCAAAATCAGGCAGAGAACCTGTGTCAAGTAAACATGTTTTGTACAGCATTTTGGCCTGTTGTTGCAAGCATGCATTTCTAAGAATTAGCCAAAAGTGCTTTAACAGCGCCCCCATGCCTCTGGTCACGAGGGATCTCATAAAACTTTTATCATAAGCGCCTGTGTACACTGAATAATTGAAAATACTCGTGCATACGTTTTGGTGGAGCTGTGTCATTATATTGGGATATGGCACCGCAGCAGCTGATGCGGCCGTGCTTGGCCATGTTGGCGACAACTGTGCACGCAAACTCTCCTCCAACCTGCAAACAGAACCGAGTTGGAAAAAACCAAATCAAGTTTTAAAGATTTGTAAGGACCAAGTCATGGATGTGTCTTCAATAGGTCGTTACGCTTGTTTCCCAAAACTGAGATTATAAGTTGCCACTCTTGAGGCACATCCTTGAGGTTGAACGCCCGATGCTTCTGAAATATGTAAAAGGAATTCGATCGATGTCTTGAGTAAATTTGCTTGAGTTGAGGTGTGTTCAACTTGTGCAATTTTGCAACACAAATATTTGATCTGACATCACTATTCTGCAACTGTACCATGTATGATTTAGACTTCATAAGCTGTGGAAGGGAACTGTTTTTCTTTATGAACACCCACCAAGAGCTTTATTTCTTCAAACACCTAAAACTAAAAATATAAGAATTACTACACATTCTCCTACATGTTTAGAAACTCAGTAACTTGGTAGGTTGAAATTTTGAGACTAATTGGTTTTTAGTTTGTATTCTTGGTGTATTTTTATTGTTTGCAGAAGGTCATCCAAATTTCCCCTGGAGGGATAATAAAGTTATTTGAATCTTGAATCGAAACACAATCACTGTTTAAAGGAAAAAGATTCAATCAAGGGTGATTCCACATTTTAGAGGCAAGGTGTTATGTATAGAGGTTATTCATGTGACGTCACTTGACCAGCAAAGGCAGTTCAAGACGCGTTCCAAATCTGCAGCGGCGCGTGCATATTGGAATCTGCATCTGTCGGTTGCCATGTTAATGTACGACAGAATGCTGAGAGACTTCCGTACCCGTGTGTACACTGAACACTGATATGCCAATAACTATTCACAGGGCATTGGGGGATGACTCCAAATCTGAAGACCAGCATTCGTACAAGTGTCAGAGGCTGACCTCAGCAAAGTACATGCTGGATACTGTATTTGGAAGATATAGACCAATGCTATATTTGGTTCATTATCTCTCTTGATTGCTACCTAAGGGTTCAGGAATGCTCTGACAGTTTTTAAATGCTGTGATGGCTTGTAAAGGCTATCAGGAATTCTGTTTGGCAGTCCACTTCATTCAGTCCTTTGAACTGCTATAATGGCATTCAAGTTTGGCAAGGGAAAACTCACATTGTCGAAGTAACAGTTGATGCCGTCGGGGGCAACAGACTTCAAGGTAGCGTCAAGGTTCTTGATTGTCTTGTAGTTGAAGGCTTCGTCAAAGCCCAGTTCTTTAAGCCAGGCCACCTTCTCATCGGAGCCAGCAAATCCGATGACTTTACACCCCTGATTAAGAAGGAAAAAAAAGAAATTGGTTTGAAAGTTCTAAACGGAACATTTTCTTAGGGAAAATGGCAGCAGTGTCGTTTCTGATAGTTTTTAAAACTTGGAAGACGAAAATTCTCTCAAGATTTCCAGCAGTTTTCTGATCTTTACCTTGATCTTTGCGATTTGTCCCACAACAGAACCGACCGCCCCAGCGGCTCCGCTAACAACCACCACCTCCCCCGGCTTTGGGGCACAGATTTCAAGCAAACCGTAGTAGGCAGTCATCCTAAAAACCATCAAACAGCAAACCCACAATACAAAGCATATGCTACGTGTACATGTATGTGTTATTTGAAACAGAAAGTACAGTTTTAGGGTTAACACTCTATGTATGTATAAAAGGCCTCAAATCCTTGTCGTTTAATTGGTGGAACACGCGTCACGTGCGTCAGGTACTATTTGCCCATGAACAGATGTTAAAAATATACAACGGTTAGGATCATCCTTCTTTCCACTGATTTCCCACCTTTTCCCTGATTTACATCACATGAACAGCGCCCGGACTTGTCCAGAAATACTTGGACACTTTCACGGTTTACAGAAGTGCACTTTTCAGTGCTCCTAACCCGAAAAGGATATAAAACAGTTTACATACAGTATGGAAGAGGAGGGCATGTACAAATATGCATACAGTGTGAGTCCTTCTGTGGCAGCAAGGAATTAACTCACATGCATCTTTGATACACAACTTCAAACTCGTTAGATATAAGATGACTTCACACTTGTCGAGGTAGGTCACCACCACCTAACACTTGTGTCATTTTTTGAAAGGGGTTGCTGACAGCTTCATCACCCTCTATAACCCCCCTGCCGAACCCAATTATACTCACCCAGGCATCCCCAGGGTCCCCAGGGCCAGGGAGAGAGGGACTCCCTCTGGGTAGGGCGGAATCTTACCCGAGTTTGTCTTATCACACAAGGAGTGAGTGGTCCAACCTCCCTGGCACACGACGAGCGTGCCGACCGGGAAGTCTGCATTCTTGGTCTCAATGACCCTGCCGAGATAAAAGCAGCAATAACGTGTTCAATGAGCGAAAAAAAAAGTTCACGGTACGGATATGCCAGCCTAGGCTCAATACTGACAAGCTGATCAGAGCATTAAGAGAGAGAGCCGCTATTATCATAGTCAAGGTATTAACAATCCAACAAACACATTCTCAAGCTTTGTTCCCTCTTGATAACCAGTTCGACATGTGGCGGTGAACTTGCGAATTCAAGGGGGTCTGATTGCATCACAGGGTACTACGAGACAGGTGGGTTTTTTTCTTCAGGGAAGAAATTTCACATAAAATCAACTCCATTTTTCACTGTTTCCAATGTCAATTGTAAAATTTCAGAAATTTGGACACACGAAGACCTTTTGAATAGGAAAGTGACTTGTCAATTGATTTGAAATCAACACAGAGGTACTTGCATTCATTTGGGGCTTGTTTACAAAGATACCATAACACCATAAAATCTATCATAAAAAAACAGAAATTTGTGTGTCAGCGTAAAGTGTAAAAAAGAAGAAAATTTTTTCTTGCGGCAATTAATTATTTCACATCTTAACAAGGGTGGATTGGCATAGACTCCTGTTTTACACACAAAAGGATACCAACTTTGCGACCTGGGTCCCAATCATGGTGATTCCTTCTGGCAGTCTTGCCGAGTATGGCCTTCAGAAAAAAAGGAACAGGTGAGGGTTGGGCTTCATTATTTTTTCATAGACATCAGAAGCCAGTGGCATATTCAATGTCATCCGAAAGGGCTATAAGTTCGGGCAACGCCCATCTGTTAAACACTGGTCGAGTCTGCCTGGTACCCAGGATATATGTCGTGCATAGATTACCAGGTACTATGGAAAAGTTGTCAGCGGATGACAAATAGTCACTATTCAAGCTTCTTCTGATTTAGTTTTACAACTCAACTCGTAAGGGTAGCTGCATGATACGACTTAAGTCAGTCGGAGTAAATGACTCAAAATGTCTCAACTCACACAAAACACAGTTACACGTTACAACATTACTACCATGGGTGGAAAATCGAAGTTATTGTATTAAAAAAGTCTATATGTACACACAACTAAAGACTTCTCAAAGTGTGGGCAACTCCATAATGCAATGATTTCCACGGAAGCCAGGTTTTTATGTCAAGGAGGCGGTGTGAAATTACTGGTCTGGTCCCTATAAGGTTTAGCTAAAAATTAATCTCCTAGCTAACATGAAGTGTAAGAAGAAATTCAACAGCATGAGATAATGCTGCTAAATGCCACCTGACTTTGCACTGCTAGCCACTTACCGCATGTAGGGATCCACGCTGAGATAGATTGCCTCCACCAAGAATGCTGGGAAAATAAACAAAAAATGAAAAAAAATATTTTAACTACCTGCCAGGTCATATCTGATTTTAAAGTTGGAGTCCACCGTGACTGCAGAAGCCTATCCAGCACTTTTTGAACGCATTGAAAAGCAAATACAGGTTCAGTCGTATGAAACATGAGGTTGAGGGGGAATAAACATTAAAAGCCTTACTCAAAAATATGTGGGGGGTAGTTGATGCCAGGTAACATTACACTATTAAGTGATAAAAAATTAATCCTTCAGGGTTGAGCACTGGTGAAAATGATTTCAGAATTAGCAGCGGTAAGAATGTTAATCTCCAAGGGTTTCATTAGGAAAAGGTTTTTTCCAAAGAAAGCGACACCGAGGTTTGCTTGGGTTACTGTTTAAAGAGAAAAAAGTCTGAATCTCCAACTTTCAATTAAGACAGTCTCCAACGCGGTCGATGAAATACTCATCAAGGGCTTCATCTTAGCCTTAGATAGAAATGATCCGAATTTTTTTGGTACTGGGGGATGCAAATATTTCGCCCAACTTTGGTTTGCAAATGTATCTCAACCTGTCCTAAGATCTATGGGTTCATCATTACATGTGAGGCAGTAGGGGCCTAAGACAAGGAAGATAGTTCTAGGGGTATAGCCTCAACTCAAGTCTCATCTGTCGGGCTTTGTGGCAGACTCACATCCATCTGGAACTGTCGGCAGATCAAATTCCACAATCTTCATGTCGCTCCTCTTCGGCATTCCCTGGAAATGCTTCTCCAAAATCCATTTCTTCCCTTTCACCATTTTCGTTCTTGATGATAAACTGATGATGTAATTAGAAGACTTGGGTCCAGTTCACAGATACCTACATAAAGGCAGGGGGGGAAACAAGATTATAAAACCAAAAACAACACAGGAAATAATTCCACATGCTGAAACTACCAATTTTTCCCTACAGCTATCTATTAATGATCTCAAACCCAACCTCAAAATGGATGACCTACATGTAGAAAAGCTTACTTTTATCAAGGAAAGCATTGAGGAATTCATGGAGCTAACACTTGAATTTTTTACAAGGCTCATAGGGCTTGTGCACAGGTCAGGTTACATCCATTTTGTTTACTTTTTTCAAACAATCTTCTTGTAATTTCAAGTGACGCCAACATTTAATCCATTGAAATAAAGCACAAACAACTTAATAAGAACAAAGACTTTATGAAAATATGTATTTTCAGCTTTCAGTCAAAATCTCCACTCAGTTTTGTGTTCGCAAATCACAGTTTGCTCTGCTTTTACATATAAATCTCCAAATATCTCAAAATATCCCGACTTCAAATCAACATCTGTTTTGCAGCATCCCATGGAATCCAAACTTATATCCAAAAAATTTCGTATGACATCCAAGATCGCTTCACAAAGAACACAGAAAAGAGATTCATAGATGTGTGATGAGGCTCCCTAACTTGGTGTGGCCCCAGTGCCAACTGACTGAGGGGGGGGCACCTGGCCCTACAATAGTACAAGGAGTGAAGCCGCCGCATTGAACTATCACAAAAACTGTTCTGCATGATTTTCGTCCTCAGCTGTTGGGCTAGTAGTACTAGAATTTAGGCCCATGAGCACTACTAGTACAGGGCCGGCCAACATGCCAAAGTCCGCTTGGATTCGATACTGTTTATTTACACGTACATGTACATATTTCTAGCACATTTTACATGCATTTCGTACCTTAAGTACAAATACAGGTAGCAATCCACTGGCCATTTTCAATAATCGAATAACTGTTCATTTTTATCATGATTGATACCTACATCACTACTACTAATGTTGAAAAAATAAGTTTTACTTACTTCAACTTCAAGTTAGACATCTACCGGTACAGTGTTTTAAAAGCGCAATTGTGCACGTTATCGCTATCGATATCATGCGCGTGTGCGTGCTACAATAGCAAATACACTAGTTCATGGCCCAAGAAGAGACGTCAGGGTGCTGAACATGTGACCCAGTAGACCTTGACCACGAGACGAGGACACTCCTCCTCCATGTCTAAACCCGAGTTTGTGACTACCATATCGATTTTGAATCAGAACGTGTTTAGATTGTCCAAAATCACGCGTAGTACATGTACATGTATGTAAAGATCCCATACGCGTCGATGAGGTTTAATTTGACTGCAGAGACTACAATAAAGAATACCGATAGTGTAGTCTTGAATGCCCTGAAGTGGAATGATGCCGGAACAAAAGTGAATGGCAACTTAAGCTGAAAAAATAGTGCATGGAAACTGTTCATAGAATACGGAGAGAGAAAACCCCAAATAATCGTCGCTCCTTTGCAAATGTGGATACATGTTGACGGAGATTAGTGGATTGTTACTGAAATTGGTAGGGAAAACATATCGGTAATTTAAACTGCAAATACCAGAAAACATTTCAAAAAACGATAATAATCATGCACAAAAACAAGTAGTCCGAAATCGATAGATCCATAGCAGATGAATGTTCAAGGTGTTTTATGGACTCAGTGCACATGCAAGCTAACCAAGTGAATAGGACAAAGCAACTGCCTTTTCAGTTATTATTACGTTGAAGTTGAAACAACAGGTGGGGGAGTGGGACAAGTCGTTCTCCCTGCGGGAATACACTGATGAGATATGAACGAAAAACGGCACCCAGCAACCAGCTAAGAGCAACTTCAGCCAGGTGTTAGCCAAAGGGATGCGGTTGTTAGGAAACAACGAACCCTTTCTCATTCGGGCTACTACAGTACCTATGCATGTTTTAGAAGAATCAGGTACATCTGCATTGACGGTTAACTGACCCTGCAGTCCATTTTGATAAGCAAACTGCAAAACTAAGGTAAAAAATTTATTAAAAAAAAGAAAAGAAAAAAAGCTTATTCAGCTACGGTGAAAAAAAATAGCAAAAGAGAATGAATTATCTAACAAAAAGTGCTTTACCTGCTAAACATATACAACGGCTTTAAGCAACGTTTCCATCCCAAAAAGTCTTCAAAAGTCTTGTTACCATAACTCTCAAGGGATACAATAGCAAAGAAAATGCATTTTAAGCGCACTTTTCGTACATAAAGTAAGTCTAGCTTCATCTCTACAATGTCATTCTATGGCAAAGGCACAAGTCACCAGATCGATTGGTTTCTTCTAAACTTTAACGATGGTTTTGCCGGTATTTGCTCCAGAGAACAGCCCCGCGAATGCATCAAACATGTTGTCGAAACCCTGGGTGACATGTTCCTTGTACTTCAACTTCCACTAGAAAATCAAAAACAGGAAACGGTCGTTACACTGCTGTCCACGGTACGTGCAAAACATAATTGTATTCAAAGAGCACATACCAATTAGGCTATTCAAAGAGTGGGCTACTCCATAATACACAGGGCAGCTATTTTTTTATGTCAAAAAGGCAGTATGAAATTAGTCGCTAGGCTCATGCAGAAGGCTTGGCCTAAAATGAGTCATCCAATGCAGTGTGTAAAAGGAAAATTAACAGCTTGAGATAATGCTGCTAAAATATGCCACCCGACTTTGCATTGCTGCTACTTACCGCATGTAGGGGTCCACACTTAGATAGATTGCCTCCACCAAGAATGCTGGGAAAACCAGAACAAAATGCAAAATATAGTGAAACTAACCCCCCCCCACATCATATCTAAGTTTTCGACTTGGAACCCACAAAATCCAACTCAGCTGCAATCAAAAAGGTTTAAGACTGTGAGCTACCAAAATGTCTACATAAGAAATCCGGTCCTTGAATATAAAAGACAAGTGCGGGCAGATTCGGCATAACCTTTTCGACCCGGGGAGGCTCTGAGGGAACAAACTTCCAATGATTATGCCCTGGCCATAGCTATTTAAGCATTCCCTCCAGGACTACACAACTGATTCAAATCCTTGTCGGGTTTCCTAAAGGTCCAGAAACATAGCTGAGAGTTTAATTTTCTCGGATTCTTTTCAGACTTCAGGAGAGAAAACAAACGTTCCTTCAAAGAGCAAGGAACGATCTCCAAAAAAACGTTTTGGCATGATTGACGCCGCCAACAGAGCAGCAATTAATTTGCAAGCAGTAGTATAACAGCAAACGGGCCGGCCGAGTCCGCTTTGAAGTTTGATTCGATATCATATAGCTATGTCATGGCGTCTAGTACGTTACACGATCTACATGTATTTAGCACATTTCCTCACGCACCGTTTCTCTTATCTGGTACGTAAGTGTGACGTCACTTCAGTTTGAACTACGCCCACTGCACACGTGCACGGCACATAGAGTTACAGGCATTAATTGCTGTTTACGTGAACCATGGAACCGGAAGTTGCGGCGCAACTTCAGCGATTGTCCAATGAAAGCCTGCTAACCGTGGTGCGTCCGCCTTTGTGACGAAGTCCCTTACGAACTGGATTAGTCAAAAAGCGCTGCCAAGGGACTGTGTATTAAGATTTTGATAATGCTCGCTGAGATTTTATCTGTTGTTGATTATGCCCGCTGCGTTAAAAAGGGGGCCCCGGAACCTGGATACAAGAATGTTCACCTCCGCATAATTTTGATAAGGAGAGTAAATATGTGCTGGAC